GGGATTTTTTAACAATGATATATGTCCTTTAACCCTCCCAGAGATGTTTTCCAGAACCAGAATAGAAATATATGTACAGAGCTGGGAGTACAGTAGCTACATGTAAACAAAAAAGAATTCCCACCAGACAACAGAGAAACTCACACCATGAAAGTATGAGTTATTTATTTCATGCTTTTCATACCCTCAAGCTTCCTGCTCACAGCACAGAGTAGCTAAATAGCTCCTTGCCAAGTCTCTTTCTTTGTAGCTTTCTTCACCTGCCAGTCAGTAGAGAAGTGGAGTTCAAGTTTTTTTTTTTTTTTTTTTCTTTTTTTTTTTTTTTTTTTTTTTTTTTTTTTTTTTTTCTGTTATGCGTTTATGTAGGTGTTGAATATGCTCATGCTGTGTGTTGGTGTTAGCTCTTTGTTCAGCCAATAGCTGGAGTTAACTTTCACTTTGCTTGATACATGCATCCTTTCATGATGGATGGGTGGATAGTAGTAGTAGAAGCTCAGTTTCAGCAGTTGTAAGCTCTAATATTTTGCGAAGGTTTTGGCGCTCCTTTTTCTTTCTTTCTTCTAAATATAACTAGAGAAGGGGAGTTATGTCGTTGCCGCCTGAAACACAACAAAGCTTTTACCATGATTTTTACCTTGGTGTTTACTGCTCTCCTCTGCTTGCTCTAGCTGCATTTTTACCCAGATTGGAAGAACACGTTCATCCCGTTTTACGCAGTCAGTATTCGATAATGAGCTAGCTGGACCGGGTTGATCCTCCATCGGTATGGTATTTCTTCTTCTTCCCTAAAGCATCAGTAGGAAAACACGTACGTGCACTCACATATGTACAGTACATACATCTCCACCACCACACATATACATACTCGCATAAAAAATTTTCACACGCAGACAGACAGATAGTCATATTTAAAACTCTCCCTTTTCGCAAGAAGTGAGGCATGTCATGTCAGGCCAGGTCAGACCAGAATCAGAAGAAGGGCTCAGAACAATGTTCTGAAGAACATGTTCGAGTTTGTTTTTTTATAAGTTATTGATAATATACCAACTGACTTTAGGACGGGAGGGTAAAAAACAAAACAAGCAAGAAACCCTTTTTCCTCGGCCTGTAATATGCCGCCACAGAGCTGAGCTGTGTAGGCATTGCGCCTTTTTTATGTAATTTCTCATGCATTCTTTACGTTATGAATTTCGGACACGCAGACAAAAAATTATTTCTATTCAAACTTGGTTTGTTTGGGTTTGGTCTTGAAGAGAATATGCATGTAATCTGTATACAGAG